TTCACTTAGTATTTAACTCATGCCATTTCTCTTCTAGGTATACCCACTTTGAAGACATTCTGCTCCACTCTCCACCGCTCACTGATGCTGAACGTTCTGTACTCAGCAAAGGCCTCAGTTTTATCCCTCTGCGCTCCCATCTTAATGAATTTCAAGCACGGCATGACATTGAACTCTTCTTTCATCACCTTCACCTCAGTGCCCATTTCTTTGGAGAAGAGTCCTCTCCCTGTCCCACAAACCCCTTCGCCCACCTTCAACACTCTCCATCCAACTGGACCCGTCCCTCTGGCTCTTTTCCTGCACTCGACCTGTTCATTGAGAACTGCTGACCTGGCACAGATCACCTCAATTTCTCTGCCACTCCCTTTACCCATTCCAAGCCATCTTCCCAGGAACTGACTGCACTCCATACTCTAAGATCCAACCCTGACTTTGTAATTAAGCCTGCCAATAAGGGTGGTGCTGCTGTAGTCTGGTGGACTGACCTCTACATTGCAGAGGCTGAGCATCAGCTGTCTGATACCTCCTCCCATCTACCCCTGGACCATGACCCCATGATGGAACAACAGGCCATTGTGTCAACTACAGTCACCAACCTCATTTCATCCGGTAATCTTGCTCTGCCACCAAGCTGACAGTCCTCCAGCCCTGCACAGTTCGCTTCTACCTACATTTTCCTAGCCACCATTAGTTCTGAGGAAGGGTCACTCGACCCAAAATTTTAACTCTGATTTCTCTCCACAGATGCTGCCAGACCTGCTGAGTTTTTCGAGCAATTCATGTTTTTGCTTCTAATTTACAGCATCCACAGTTTTTTTTCGCTTTTATAGAGTCATACAGTACAGAAACAGACACGTTGGTCCAACTCGTCCATGCTGACCAGGATTCCTAAATTGAATAGTCCTATTCGCCTGCATTTAAGCCCATATCACTCTAAATCTGTGGACGCTGGAAATCAGATGTAAAAACAGTAATTGCTGAAAAATCTCTATGGAGACAAATTAGAGTTAGCACTTCGGGTCTAGTGACGCTTCTTCAGAACAATGGTAGCTAGGAAAAAGTGTTTTTTATGCAGAAGGTGGGTGGAGGAGTGGTAAGGAGTAAATGATAGGTGGAGATAGAGCCCAAAGAGAGAGAAGAACAGTTGGACAGACACAGGAGTGGATAACAATCAGAATGACTGCTACTGGGGACTAGCGCAGGCAGTCAGACCATGTGTGGAAGCCCCTGTGCTGAGCTACTGCAATGTAATGTCCATGCATAATTTGTTTATATGACTGTAATGGTTATTGTTTTAACTGTCCTATTTCTAACTTATTCTATTATTCTATGAATCACTGTAAAGTAATGCAATTACTTTTCTTTTTTTATTCCTCTTTTGTATCTAGGATTTGTACCCAGGTACTTGTACCTAAGATAGCGCCATAAAAGGTGACGTTGCAAAACTTTTCACTGTACTTCTGAACTTGAGTACATGTGACAATGAATGATATTCTATTTTAGTGACTAACAACGTACCCATTGTGTGTACTAGCAAACACAGTCTAAAAATAAGGGGTAAGCCATTCAGGACTGAGATGAGGAAGAATTTTTTCATTCAGAGAGTTGTGAACCTGTGGAATTCTCTCCTGCACAAAACTGTTGGGGCTAGTTCATTAGATATATTCAAGAAGGAGCTAGATTTGGCCCTTGCGGCTAAAGGGATAAAAGGATATAGAGAGAAAGCAGGAATTGGATACTGAAATTACATGATCAGCCATGATCATACAAATGGTAGTGCAGGCTCAAAAGTTCGAAAGGCCTGCTCCTGCACCTGTCTTCTATATTTCCGTGTGATAACAAAACCTGGTGTATGGGTTTGGGGTGAGGACATGGGAGAAGGTGCCTCAAGCCCTAAGATTGTTGAACTCAAATGCAGAAGGCTGTAGAGTTCCCAGGTGGAAAATGAGATGCTGTTTTTCCAGCTTGTGCTGAGCTTCACCAGAGCAATGCAGCAAGCTTGAAGTCGGAAGTCACACAACACCAGGTTACGGTTCAACAGGTTTATTTGAAATCACAAGCTTTCAGTGTGCTGCTCCTTTGTCAGGTGAAGTGCACCTGTAAATAAACATGTAGGACTTCTACTTTCTGAGCCTGGCCAGGTGATTGAAGTTTCAGTGTGGGAGCATAATTCCCCGTGAGCTTTAAGATAGTTATAGATAAGGATAAGACTGATCCTCAGGTGAAAACACTAAAAGTTGGGGGAAGACTAATTACAACTGCATTAGGCAGGAACTAGAGAAATTAGATTGAGAGCATCTATTGGAGGGTAAATCCACAACTGACATGTGGGAATCTTTTAAAGGCCAGTTGATCAGAGTTCGGGACCAGCATTTTCCTGTGAGGATGAAAGGTAAGGGTACTGTAGCTGTATAAGACTTTAGTTAGGCCACATTTGAAGTACAGAGTGCAGTTCTGGTTGCCACATTATACGAAGGATAGAGAGGGTGCAAAAGTGGTTCACCAAGATGTTACCTAGATTGGAGTGTATTAGCTATAAGGAGAGGTTGAACAAGCTTGGATTGTTTTTGCTAGAGCATTGGAGGCTGTGGGGTGACCTTGATAAAAGTACATAAAATTATGAGAGGTACAAATTGGGTGGATAGTCAGGAGCCTCTTTCCGAGGTTGGAAATGTTAAATCCTAGGGGCATAGCTTTAAAGTGAGAGAGGAAAAGTTTAAAGATGTACAAAAAAGTTTGACAGAGGATGGTAGGTACTTGGAACATGCTGTCAGGAGGGAGATGGCAGAAGCAGATACGATAGCATCATTTAAGAGTCATCTAGATAGACATGAAAACAGGCAATAAATGGAGGGAAATGGACCCTGTGCGTCATGGTCGTTACAGACATGGTGAGCTAAAGGGCCTATTCCTGTGCTATACTGTTCTATGATGACTTAGGAGCTCCACAACTGAGTGAATCCCTCCCTCCAGAGCAGTAGAGCAGCCTCTCCTCTGTGTGGCAGTATTGTTGTATAAGCAGATTGAAAAACTTTGTAAATCGCTTCCTACACATGGAACAAGAGAACAATGTCTCCCCATGTGTGAACTTGCTGCTGTGTATGAGGCTGGAATCCCATTCCACACCAGGCAGATCTTTTCCCCACGTTTGTGCTGGTGAGCAATGAGGTTTCGTGGATGCTTGAATCTCTTACCACAAGGAGTGCAGCTGGCTTCTTCTTAATCCAAATCCATTGGTGTCTCAACAAGGTGGCTCAAACTGCGAATCTGACCATATAGGGTTATTAAAAAAAGGAAGTTATTGATGAAACAGCTGAAGATGAATGGGCCTTGGACACATCCCTGTGACATTTGGGTTGTCACTTAGTTGCTACATTTCAATCATGGGGAGCCTTTAACATAATGAAACATCCCCTAAACAAATTCAAGACCATCATCAGCCAATACAGATATCATGACTGTAGCCTGATCCTACAGTCGAGACAATGGAAGTCTGCAACTGTTGGAGGGAATTCACTGGGAACAATGAGTTTGCAAAGAAACGTTAGTCAATTTATGACCCAAGGTAGTGAAATTGAAATCATTGCTTTTAACTAGTATGTTTATTTGCTGAAGAGGTAAAAGAGTGAATGAGTGAGGTTCACCCACAGCCTCAGTCACCACTTTAGGACAGGCAGAGAGAATCTGGAGAAGAGAAAATAATTAGGAAAGTGGGCACTGAATCTGGAACTGTGTGGAGTGGGGGAGGACTGTGTGGGACAGGGGCCTATATTTAGGGATATGAAAATAGAAGGAATTAAAACAGGATTTGCCTGCTCTGAATATCTGAAACGCTTACAATCAGTGATTGGATTTGAAAACTCCTTTTACAGAATATAAGAGGGAAACAATTTGCCAGAGAACTCAAATGAAAAGCCTTGCCATTGTCTCTTTGTACAGGTTCTGCAATCATTGATCACTCTCCCAGTGTGGTCATGACACTGAGCCTGTGAGCTCTGAGGCATCAATGGTGGTTGCGCTGTGGAGACTCAGCTGGGACTGTCCTCTTGTTGAGATCAAGGCTGTATGACTCAACGTATTTCTGGTCTGTCAAGAGAATGAGTTCCAATGCCCAGTGACTGCGCCTCTCAAAAATCTGAGGAACAAAATGATCCCAACCAACCGTCCATCCACCCTGCTCTCAACTTTTATCCCCACTCCAATACTCCCCAACCCCTGGTAGGCAAAACTAAAGAAAAATAGGAACAATTTGACTCATTGGGCTAATGGAAAGAAGGGACAGCCAAATGGATTGTCACAATCTTAGTGACAAAGAAGCTCCATGAGCTGTTACAGGTGAAAATGAAGAGATAGGGGACAGGATGAATCCTTTAAAAAGAACTAACTTGTGTTAAAGACATTAAAAAGATTCACCATTTTGTACTGAACACAAAGCTGATTTATTTGACTTTTATCCAGAATATTAATACCTGCATCTGGATTGGAGCTTCTAATATCAGTAGAAGCATACCCTAATGATTTAGGACTGGATGCAAAACCCAAACACAGCAGTTATTTGAGAAGTCACTGGTGTCGCAGCACATTGGATGTGAGAGTGAATTCCTTTCCACACCAGGAGTAGATGAGTGGCCTTTCTCCAGTGTAAACTCACTGATGACACAGTTGCTTGAACCCAGTCCAACGGTGAGAGCAACTGAATGGTCTCTTTTCAGTGTGAACGTATCGACAGTCATCAGGTCAAGATTGCGGAATGTGTTATAAAAGTTCCTGGCAACTTTTTTTTTCAAAATTACTCATGAGACATGGACGGCACTGGCTGGGGCAGCATTTAGGACAACTGAGGATGAGCACTAAGTCCGGACATTTAAAACTTTTCTCATCACTATGAACTCATTGTTATACAATAAAGTTAGGTTATGTCTCGAACAAAGCAAGAGCATCCGATTGGGCTCATGTGAATGTGAACACGTTGGTGAAAACATTAATGGTATCTCCCTCAGTCTGGACACTTGAAAGGTCTTGCATCAGTGTGAACTCGTTGATGTCTTAACAAGTGAGACAACCGAATGAATCCCTTACCACAATCAGAGCAGGTGAATGGCCTCTCCCCAGAGTGAACTCGCTGGTGTGTTAGCAGGTTGGACAAACAAGTGAATCCCTTTCCACAATCTGTGCAGATGAACGGTCTCTCCCCAGAATGCACTCGTTGATGTGTCAGGAGGCTGGACAAACACGTGAATCCCTTCTCGCACTCAGAGCAGGTGAATGGCCTCTCCCCAGAGTGAACGCGCTGGTGTGTCAGCAGGTTGGATGAACAAGTAAATCCCTTCCCACACTCCGCACAAATGAATGGTCTCTCTCCAGTGTGACTGCGCCAATGAATTTCCAGATGGGATGGCGAAATAAATCCCTTCCCGCAGTCCCAACATTTCCATGGTTTCTCTCTGGTGTGACTGCATTTATGTTTCCACAGGTTAGATGATCGGCTGAAGCTTCGTCCACACACAGGACATGTGTATGGCTTCTCCCCACTGTGAACAGTTCTTAATTCTTCCATGTTCAAAGCCTGATGATATTCTGGTCCTGCTGAATCAGGTGTCATTGTCAGGTTTTGATTTGATGTTTGGTTCGAGCATCCTGCTTGCAAATCCTCTGTTTCCAAAACCCTGTGAAATTAATTTAAAACAGGAAAAAGTGACGATGAAAGCTGCTGGATTGTCATCAAAACTCCATTAGTCCATCAATGCTGTTCAGAGAAGGGAACCCGACACACAATCTGAGGCTCCACAATACTCTGGCCTGTATGGATGGAGACGGCGAGTTGCAGGAGGGGGTCAAAGGAGATAGACTTCATCCATCTGCAACTCAGTGAGAAGTTTGTCAGAATATTCCAAATCTACAACTCTCCACCACCAACTGATTCTTGGCAGAAGCATCACCTCCCAGACATACACTAGTGGTTTAACTGGAGACAGCATATTCACCTGCTCTGTTTGAGAGAAGGGATCTGATCTATCATCCAACTTTCTGAAACATCAGTGAATTCACTAGAAACTGCAGAACTGAACACTGTTCAATCTAAGAGGTGAGCCTACTTCTGCTGATGTTAAAAATTCCTATTACTGGGATAGAATTAATATTCTCACAATCAATTTGCTTTATTTTGTATCCTTCACTCGTCAAATGAAGTATGTTTTGGATCGTTCTGTTTTGTGATGTAAAACTTTATTTGCTGCTCATGAAGTGGTCTGCTCTAACATTGGAAAAACGAAACAAAAATTGGATGATCATTTTGTGGAATAACCTCAACTTAGATGGAAAGCTGCAGTGTGGGCTTCTGGTCATTTGTCATTTTAATTCTTCACTCCAATCTCACTCTTGACCTCTGTCATTGGTCTCCTGCACTGTTCCAATGAAACTCAATGGGTGCTTGAGGAACAGCAGCTCATCTTTAGATTCATCTTTGAGTTCAGCAGTTCCTGTAACAACAGGTATTTGACAGGATGCAATGACTTCAGGTTGGTCTATAATCAATCTCAACAGACCTACCATTATCCCTTGTTGGCAAATATCTTTGGTTAACAAAATCTGTCAATGTCAGATGTAAAATACCCATTGACCTAGCATCAACTGCTATTTACAGAAGACAGTTCCAAACTTCTACTAACTTTAAATGAAGAGTTTTGTAATTCACTCCTGAAAGGAATGGCTTTAATTGTTGGATTGTGTCCTTGGTGCAAGATTCTCCAACACAAATATTTTCTCTGTCAACTCCAGTTAATATTGTGAAAACTTTAAAGTGATCAATTCTTAATCTTCCACATTCCAAAAATAGAACTCTCTCAGTGAGAAGGTGGACAATGGAGAAGACAGAAAGAACAGGGAGGGAATCTATACTTAGTGGAAGAGATCTAAAGTGTGTGTAAGGATAGGGAGACCTGGGCGTTCATGTCACAAGACATTTTGGTGATGGCAAGGTGTACAAGAACAGTTAGAAAGACGTATTGGGTTTCTAGCTTCATAAACAGAAGTACCAAGTTCAACAAGAGGAAAATATGCTGAATCTCAATAAAGCATTGGTGAGGCAACAACAGTCTGCAGAAGGGATTTACCACATTAGTTCCAGAAGAAAGGAATTTTAGCCACAGGATTATTTAGAGAAACTTAGATAAAACAAAGAACTATGGATGCTGGAGATCTGAAACAAACAGAAATTGTTCGAGAAACGCAGCAGGTCTGGCAGCATCTCTGAAGAGAAAACAGCATTAACATTAACTTCTAGTGAGCTTTGTTCAGAATGGTTACAGAAACTTAAGAATTTATTTTCTTGAAGTAAAGGATGGTATATTTGATAAAGATGTGCAAGATTGTGACAAACTTAGATAATGAGACAAAGAAAAAGTTGTTTCTGACACAGGAATTCAGGGATACAAATATTAAGGTTATGAATATGAGTTACAGAGGACATTCAAGGAAATTTTTTTTAGGCAGTGTGAGGTAATACTCAGCAGACTGCCTACAGAGATTTAAAAAAGCAACTGGGTTAGAGCTTGAGGAAATAGTTTGGAGGTATTTGGGTATTTAATAGGGGAATGAGAAAGACTTGATTGCTCAACAGAGAACAACTAATCCGATGGCCCAAATGGGTTCTGTAGTAACTGTAACAAAGTCAGCCAGGGGTAAATAAAGGGTGACTTGGTGACTGTATATCAGCCTCCGTGGAGTTATTCAGCCTCTTTCTCTGCTTTTGCTCTCGAGGGAGTGCAGTGAAGGTTTACCATTGCTGATTCCAGGGATGGTGGGTCTGACATATGAGGAGAGACTGACTAGGTTAGGATTGGGAGTTCAGATAAATGAGGGGAATCTCAGAGACTTATAAAATTTTAACAGGACTGGACAGGGTAGATGTTCCCAAATGTGGGTGTGTCCAGAACCAGGAATCACAGTATGAGGATTTAGGGTAGATGATTTGGGACAGAGATGAAGAGACATTTCTTCACCCAAAGTATGATGAGCCCGTGGAATACATTACCACAGGAAGTAGTTGATGCCAAAACATTGAATGTATTCAAGAGGCGACTAGATATAACGCTTGGGGTGAACGGGATCAAAGGTTCTGGGGAGAAAGCAGGATTGTGCAATTGATTTGGATGATCAGCTATGATTGTGAAGAATGGTGCAGCAGGCTTGAAGGGCTGAATGGTCTCCTCCTATCTTCTATGTTCTGTAACTCTACAATACTGTGGGCTGTCTTGTTCTATGGTCTAACTGCAGTTTTTTGTTTTAATTGAATACTTCTTAAGATGGGTACCCAGAATTGAATACATAGAGCAAGTGTATGCCGAGGATTTTAAGTTTTCTTGTGCTGAAATTGTAGAGTCCCTACCTTAGAATCAAAAAGCCTGGATTCAAGTTCCACCTATTCCAGAGGTGTGGAATAACATCTTCATAAAATCCCTACAGTGTGGAAACAGGCCCTTCGGCCCCACAAGTCCACACCGATCTTCAACGCATCCCACCCAGACCCATTCCCCCTATAACCCACCACATGCCTACACATCATCCCTAGCCACCAATCTACACATTCCTGAACACTACAGGCAATTCAGCATGGCCAATCCACCTAGACTGCACATCTTTGGAATGTGGGAGGAAAAGGAGAACCCAGAGGAAACCCACGCAGATACAGGGAGAATGTACAAACTCTACACAGCCACCCAAGAGTGAAATCAAACTCGGGTTCCTGGTGCTGTGAGGCAGCTGTGCTAACCACTGAGCCACTGTGTCGCCAACAGGTCTCTGACAGGTTGCTTAGAAAAAAACTGAAAGATCTGTGGATGCTGTAAATCAGAAACAAAAACAGAAATTGCTGGGAAAGCTCGTCAGGTCTGGCAGCATCTGTGGAGAGAAATCAGAGCTAACGTTTCAGGTTGAGTGACCCTTCCTCAGAAGCATTGCTTAGAAAATATCTATAATCAGGGCTTTGAATATCTTGGTGCTTTTCCATTCACATCAATATCCGAAATCTGTTCCAACAAACCAACAGACAAACCTTTTCCCTTCGACAGTCAAAGGTCGCTGACTTTCATGTTCTGATGATTCAAGTGACTCTGTCAGATCTTGGTGTGATGCTTGGTTTGAGTTTCCCATTTTTATATTCTTTCTATATAATATCCTGTCAAAGGAGTTACAAAAAGTCATCACTATTAGTGTCGGTCAGAAGCTCAGAAAAGAAAAAAGCTATCTGCATAGATTTGGTATATATTTGCTCCCCCTTCTCCACGCTTCCCCGTCTGTCCGGGATGACCGCGCGTGCGCCCTGCTACCCATTGTCCCGATGAAAATGGCGGCCGTTGCCTGGGCCTCGGAAGACCAGTGAGGCTCACAGCTGTTGGCCAGTTTGGCGCAAATACATTTCCAATTTGAGACTAGAGGCCTATACCAGGTATTTCTGAACCTTCCCAAACAACAATAAATCCATTTCTATCCTGCAGTCAACTGTTTATCTTCCTTAACTCATTAGAATTAGCACTACCCATAATTTCGTCAAATCACAAATGCGCCTGCGCAGCGACACGAGTTTTCAGCAGTCACATGACTCAGCAAGGGTCCACCTACCCAAACCCAACCCGCAATGATTGGCTCGCAGCCCCCGTCAATCAATCGGGCTCCATTATGAAATGAACGAACATCAGTATCGTTTGTTGTACAGCGGTAGTGTCTCCACCTCCGGGTTCAGACAGAGATAGTAGGAACTGCAGATGCTGGAGAATCCGAGACAACAAGGTGCAAGGCTGGATGAACACAGCAGGCCAAGCAGCATCATAGGAGCAGAGAGGCTGACGTTTCGGGCCTAGACCCTTCATCAGAAAAGGGGGAGGGGAAGGGGGTTTTGAAATAAATAGGGAGAGAGTGGGAGGCGGATAGAAGAGGGATAGAGGAGAGGATAGGTGGAGAAGAAACAAACAGGTCGAAGAGGCGGGGATGGGGCCAGGAAAGGTGAGTGTAGGTAGGGAGTTAGGAAGGGGATAGGTCAGTCCAGGGAGGACGGACAGGTCAAGGGGGCGGGATGAGGTTGGTCGGTAGGAGATGGAGGTGCGGCTTGAGGTGGGAGGAGGGGATAGGTGGGAGGAAGAACAGGTTAGGGAGGCAGGGACGAGCTGGACTGGTTTTGGGATGCGGTGGGGGGAGGGGAGATTTTAACAGGTCTAGGCCCGAAACGTCAGCCTCTCTGCTCCTATGATGCTGCTTGGCCTGCTGTGTTCATCCAGCCCTGCACCTTGTTGTCTCGGATTCTCCAGCATCTGCAGTTCCTACTATCTCTGGTTCAAGTCCTGTCTGCTCCAGAGATGTACAATAATATCTCTGAACAGACTGATTCAAAAATGAAAAAGGGCTAAATATTCCACACCTTCGTCATTGTAGGTTCCAGTTGCTGATTTTGCGGGGAGGCAGTGGTTAGCACCGCTGCCTCACAGCGCCAGGGACCAGGGTTCGATTCCAGCCCTCAGGCGACTGTCTGTGTTGAGTTCGCACATTCTCCCCGTATCTGCGTGGGTTTTGTCCGAGTGCTCCGGTTTCCTGCCACAGTCAAAAGATGTGCAGGCTAGGTGGATTGGCCATGCTAAATTGCCCATAGTGTTCAGGGATGTGTAGATTAGGTGCGTTCTAGGGAGATGGGTCTGGGTGGGGTGCTGCAAGGGTCAGTGTGGACTTGTTGGGCCAAAAGGCCTGTTTCCACACTGTAGGGATTCTATGAATTCTGCGAGGGAGGGACAGCCATGGAATGATCAAAGTTGGGACCCCTCTGGGTTGTAGGGGGCCTGTGGCTAGGCACTACCACAGAAACTGGTAAATAAAGGCACCAGTGGACATCCAGTTCCTGGCTGACACAATCCATCACCTAGAAATGGCAGTGCTGGGACACAACATTGTGCACCATTTGGAGGACACTCGGGGATCTCCCCTGCATGTATTCTTGTTCAAATTTCATAGCAGGCCTAGCTTCCTGAACCTCCCTCAGGAGCCCATACCCCACAATCTGCATTGCCTTATGGGAACATCCCCTGTGTCCTTCTGCCTGGTGAAGTACATTTTTAGGCTGCTGCTACATATTGTCCACTTCCAGATCCTTTGTTCACTGCCCAGACACACCTTGCATACTTTTTGTTAACTGCCAGACAGTGGAGGTCCTCCAGCTTTCCCTTGGGCTCCTGAGTGGAGGGTGTTGTATGCAGCAAACCCATGTAACTACACATTGTGGCTTATGGACTCCCAAACCAACTATTTATTTTGCTGAACTGTGGACCATGTATATATTGGTTCAGGGTGATTGCCTTTTTAGGTATCTGAACAATCTTTTGTTGTGCTTTTGGTTGTACTTCAGCCCTACATGCTTGATCTTTGGGCATTTAGTGTGGAGGGGTGTGGCCAAGTCAGAGGACCTCTTTGTGAGTCTGCATCTGGGCCTGGCCAAGATAGCTATTGACAGGGTCAGAGAGCAGGCAATAGAGGGAGTTATTGGCTGCTAACTGTCTGGCCTTTTCCACAGCTACATTTGCACCTGGGTGTCCTTGGAGAGAGAGAGGTGGGCATCTCAGGGAAGTACAGTGTTGTACTTCTGTATAATTCCATTTTGATTTAGCCCTTCCCTCTTCCCTCATCTTTTGTTGTCTGTATTGCCCCTCACGTGCATTGCTTGATCCTTCTGTTAGGCTATTTACAACTGGTGATGGTTTAACCTAAGAGTTTGAGGAGAGCTTTTCATAGCCCTTCTTTCTTGGACTTTGCATGCAAGTTGAACAAATGGAAACATGGGTGATTTACTGGTGGTGGTTAATTAATAAAAAACACTGGGGTGATTTGGAGGTGGGGGTAAAAGCCATTCAGTTATGCATGATAACACTTCCAGATACCAAAAAAAGGAAGGTGAGTGAGGATAGGGGCCTCTTTTGGTGCAGTGATTGTTAATGTCCCTCTGAGCTTGCAGGCCAGGTTTCAAACCCCACCTACCCCAGAGTTGTGTCTTAACAGCTCTGAATAGATTGATTAGAAAATATCCATGAGGTGATTCTTAGGGAGAGGCTTATAAATTGACCCTGGAGAGGAAACTGGTGCCAATTTCACGATGGCCACAGAAGAGTTGAAGCAGCATAGACTCAAACAATGCAGCAGAACCTTGTGGTATTTCCCGGTCAGCTGACTCTCTGGGAACAGCCTGGGAAATTTAAGTCTGCAATTCCTCTGCAGTGATTGTAACGAGTCAGCTGGATAGATCTCAACCACCAAACATGAGTTCCCTGATTGGACCAGGTTAAAGCCCCAATCAGGGAGCCCTGGCTGACAGATACAAACAAGAGAGTGTCAGGGGTTCTGTTCACTCAGAGCTAGCTCTGAGGAATCTGGACCAGTGGCAAGTACTATGCATGTGTTAAAAAAATGAAGGGTGACTTGGTGATAGGATACCGTCCTCTGTGGAGTTATTTCAGTGGCGATGAAAGTGGGATTAGTGATGTAACCAAGCAAAAGTGCCTACTTCCTGAAACCCAACTGGACTTAGAAACTGGCACTACAACTGGCTTTGTCATTAGAAAACACAGCAAATGGAACAAGTGAGCTACAGGATATGCCATTGGAAGTGGAAGTGGACACTCTTGCCAGGCCGACTGAGCTTGAAGGACACCACTTAAGTAAAGGCAATTGCATAGCTTCACTTAGGACATATCCTGAACAGAGGGACTCTAGGTCAACCCACAGCCACACCCTAGAACAAAGCCAAGCATCTGTCAAACAGTTAACATTTTCTTCAGGATCCAGGCTGGCAAGCCATTGTAGGTGCTACAGGTATAGAGTCATAGGGATGGACAGCATGGAAACCGACCCTTTGGCCCAACTCATCCATGCCAACCAGATATCCTAACTTAATCTAGTCCTATTTGCCAGCATTTGGCCCATATCACTCTAAACCCTTCCTATTTATGTATCCATCCAAGTGCCCTTTAAATGTTGTTAATTATACCAGCCTTCACCACTTTCAACTGCAGCTAATTCCATACATGCGCCACCCTCTGAAAAAGTTGCCCCTTAGGAACCTTTTAAATCTTTTCTGTTAAGCTTATGCCCTCTAGTTTTACACTCCCCTACCCTGGGGAAGGGCCTTGGCTACTCACCCTATCCATGCCCCTCATGATTTTATAGATGTCTAAGGTTAACACCCAGCCTCCGATGCTCCAGGGAAAATAGCCCCAGCCTATTCAGCCTCTCCCTATAGCTCAAACTCTCCAACCCTGGCAACATCCTCGTAGATCTTTTCTGAACCCTTTCAAGTTTCAGAATGTCTTTCCTAGAGCAGGGAGACCAGAACTGAATGCGCTCTTATAAAAGTAGTTTAACCAATATCCTACATAGCTGCAACATAACCCTTCTACTCATTTGATCAATGCATTGGCCAATAAAGGCAAACATATCAATTCCTGTTTTCACAACACAGTCCACTTGTGACTTCACTTTTTATGAACTATGAACCTGCATCCCAAGGTCTCTTTGCAACACTCCACAGGACCTTACCATTGAGCATGTAAGTCCTGCCCTGATTTGCCTTACCAAACTGCAGCACTTTAATTTCTCTGAAGATGGTGTTCAATTTCTCCAAATTAAACACCATTTGCCACTCCTTGGTCCATCTACCCATCTGATCAAGGTCCTGTTGTACTCTGAGGTAATCTTCTTTGGCATCCACTACACCACCAGTTTATGCAGGCTTGAGGCAGCGAAAGAGTTGCGCTAAGCCTGAATTGAGTAAAAGAACTGATAGGCTGGTATCCAGGAGAATGCAAGCCCTGGGTTTGGAACAGTTAAATTGCTTAGCAACACCCAAATCAGAACCAAATCAAGTTAAATAGTCACCCAGTTCTAATGGAAGTTGATATCAGCACAGCTAAATCAGCGATTGCAGAACCAGTCTTTAACAAAATTCACTGTGGACTCCAATCCTTATGTTTGTGTAAGACCTCGGCTAAACTGAGAACCTATACCAGGGAACTTTTACAGCTTAAGGGTAAAATTTTGGTTCCAGTCTCTAATGAGAAGCTATTTCAGTTGCCACTGATTGTAGTAAAAGGCTCAGGACCAAGCCTGATGGGGTGAAATTGGTTGAGAAAGATTCAATGGCTCAACATTTTTCAATTAGAAAATCACTGCCTGAGTGAAGTCTCAATAACATACCAGGAGTTTTTCAGGAAGGTCTAGGGATTATCAAAGGAGACAAGGCCAACTTGCACGTTGACCAGGAAGCAATTCCATGATTTTGCAAGGCCTGCCCAATGCCATTTGCCTTACATGCTAAAGTAGAGGCAGAAATCAAGAAATTGGAAAGCAATCATCAAGAGATAGCAAGAACTGCAGATGCTGGAGTCAGAGATAACACAGTATGGAGCTCGAGGAACACAGCAGGCCAGGCAGCATCAGAGGAATAGGAAAGTTAATGTTTTGGGTTGGGACACTTCTTCAAAAATGGGGAGGGGGAGGGGGAGGGGGAGGGGAGCTGGGAAATAAATAGAGGAGGGATGGGGCTGGGGAAGGTAGGTGAAATGGTGATAGGTCAGTGTAGATAGGAAGTGGTGGGGTTTGGTCAGTGGTATGGGTGGGGCAGACAGGTGGGAGAGAAGATGGGACAGATTGTGTCAGGTCAAGGAGGCAGGGATAAGAGGGAGGGTTTAGGTGGGAGGAGGCCAGCGGTGGGGAGATTTTAAAACTGGTGGATTCCATGTTTAGACCATTGGGCTGTAGGGTCCCGAGTGAAAATATGAGGTGTTGCTCCTCCAGTTTGCAGGCA